CATAGCTAATGCTGCATGGACGCCGTTTCAGACTTCCTGCTGCTTTTATCTGTTTCTGGAAATGGAGTTGTACAATGGGCTCGGTTTGATGTCAGCTACAGCAGGTGATTTGAGCAACAGTCTTTTCATGTATGTGTGTATATATATATATATTTGCGTGTATCTCTCTCTCTATATATGAAACTTTCTTTTCTTTGCAGAGGTAGTGTGGGAGAAGGTCAGATCTAGCTGGCACAAACCCTTTGGGAAGAAGCAAAGAAAATGGAGGAATTCAGGGAAGAGCAAAAACTGCATCGGAAGAAGGTCAGGATGTTGATCCACTACCAATTACCATCCTTGGTGATGGATTTTGGCTCCTGGCTCGTTTCTCCCACCATGCCCCAGCCCCCTGCATGCTCCCAGTGCCTGTCGCTGCTGGGAAGTCCTGAGCTCCTTCCTATATGTTGAAGCCCTGCTGCTGAACCTCTGACTTCCTTCTTCTGACTGCCACATCTTCTCCTTTGGGTGCCTTTTGGGGCTGGCTATCGCAGGGCTCACCTCCAGAGACACCAGCCTCAACCAGGAATGTTCTTAAAGCATAGAGACATATATCTCATACATTATAGTGTTGCGTGATGTCCATAGGGTTTGCTAAAATTGGCAAGTCTTTTAACCTCTTCTGGCTTGAGATTCCTTTGTCTGGAAAATGAGAGAAAACTGCTGCAAGTTTGGACGTAGCAGAAGGGAGCTGGCTTCCCAATTTTCCTAGATTCAATGGAGATGATACAGTACTATATAATGGTGGATTTCATTTGTAGAGTTCCATTGCATAGACAGGTGGAGGCTTAGCTAGAAGTATAAAAGGTGGGTTTTGTGAAGATGCTTGATGTGGACATAGGTCCTTAAGGCCATCTGAATTTGGTCTGTGCCTCTTCCTTTCCTAAGCCACATAGTCCATCGTGAAGCTTCGATGCTCAGTGATGTGTTGACTCTCTTGTCATCACAGATAGACCTGATAATGGAGGCGATTCAGAAAATCAGGAGTCTGCAGTACGAGAAGACCATGGTGGTAAAGCAAACATGCTGCTCTTTCTTGCTCTATGGTTTAACACTGCTACCATACGCGCACAGTGCTGGCACAGTCTTACATATGAGGGTCTTCCTCTGCTGCAACTCATGCAGACACTACATCAAGAGCTGCAGCAGAGGAAGACCGTCACATTTAAGTCTGCATAGTGTGCTCTGAAAAACTGAAGAGTACACCACGGACATGGCTAGTCACAGCATTGCATGGTAGGTTAAGATTGATTTAGATGTCACGGACTCGATTGCTATGAGCTTTTCATGCCAAATGAAGAGCAGCTTGTCTTGTGAGGTCAGTTTTGGTCAAGCAGCAGGGCACTGAGTGCCTTGTGTGCTGTCCCCTGCTCTGTGGGCAGCCTTTGGTAACCTCTTCACTTGGAGGCTGTTTTGCTCTAGAGCTATGTGCATGAGCTGTAATAGTACCTCCTTGCTTGCTAACACGCTCCTGCCCTGTTTGTTGGCTCTCCTAGGCCAAGCGCCTTTATGAGCAGCACCGCATGGATAAGGGTGAGGCGGAACAAGCTGTGCACCACAACACAAACGTGGTTACACAGAAGCAGCAGGAGAAGGTATAGAGAGGCGGGTGGCCATGGGACAGGAAGGGTGTATGCTCTTTGGGCTCTCCTGCCCCATAACTCTTCTCCCAGCTCTGGGTTTGGGGGTGAGATGGAAGGGCTGGCAATGTTCTCTAGCTGGCCTTCAATACCGTTGTGATGCACGTTAGCTCTCCTGTAGCTTTCTTCTGTCTCCCAGTTTTGGCAGCTGTTCCTCAATCTGGCTCAGATGAAATCACCTCCGGAAGACTCTGGTGAGTGTGGCAATGCAGGGTTTGGAGGGTGAGGGGAGTGTTTGCTGGGGCAGGGGTTGTGAAGCCATGGCATGGCTCTTGAGCGAGCTCCAGCTTCTGGGTCAGGGCTGGCTCCTCAGAAACTCATGCCCAACATAGCAGAGATGGCTTCGCACCCCATTTCCCGTTTCTCACCGTTTCTCTGTGGCATGACCTTCCACCTTGCTGCACAGCTCTGTATTTCCTTGCAGTGCACATCCATAGCTGAGCTCACACGTTACTGCTGCTTTCTCCCTGACGTCCCTGCCGATTCAGGTTTTGTGTAGTGCCTTCTAGCAAAGGGTCCTTTTAATCCATGTTAATCAGATGACAGTGTGATTTGTTTCAAAGGCAGGAGTTACCAGCAGAGCGTTACCACACTGGAGAAGATCCGGGAAGAACGGCAAAGAGCACGTCAAAGCTTGTGAGGTGAAAGCCCCCAGACACCTTCACGTGGCAGTGTGGTCCTCTGGATGTCCACTCCTTGTTGTAGAAGTCCGGGATGGCACAGATCTGCCTTCTCTCTGTTGCCCTGGCAGTGAAGCAGCAGGATGTGTTGCAGCTAACACTGTGTGTGCCTTAGGCGTGCCTTCTGCACTTAAGATCCCACCACTTCAAGGTTTCCACTATATTTTTTTTGTTTGTTTTTATTTTTCCTTCCACTACCTTTTCAAAGTAACAGAATCAAAGCAGTGACCTTTTCGCCCATTAACCTGCTTGCGCGTTTGGTGTGGCCATTATCCTGAACAGCCGTAGTCACTTCCAGGTACTCAGTGACTTATGGCCAGTGTGTTCTACAGCCACGACACCACCTAGCAGACTCTGAAACTCTGATGGACTTTAAATGAATTTGCAGTAGAAGGCGCTGACACACTGGGGATGCAAGCTGGGTGAAGCCATCTCCATGTGAACCCAGTGTGCCAGCAGCCCTTCGCCATATATCTCACGTGGTAGCATGGGAACCCCTCTGAGCAGATGTATCAGTCTAAAGCAGACTGTGTCATAGCAAAATGGTCTAGCCAGGACTTCCAGCAAGTGCCAGGGAAATCCAGAGCTGGTTGCAAGAGGACCGTGATGCTGCTCTGCTGCTGACCTGTGTCTTGCAGCTGTCTGTGATGTGTAACCAAGGGTTTAATGAGGTGATGCGGCTCCTCTGCTCTCGTGAGACCTCACTTGGAGTATTGCGTACAGTTCTGGTGTCCTCAATATGAGAAGGACGTGGAGCTGTTGGGGCTAGTCCAGAGGAGGGCCACGAGGATGACAAGGGGGCTGGAGTACCTCCCATATGAAGACAGGCTGAGAAAGTTGCGGCTGTTCAGACTGGAGGGGATAAGGCTGCATGGAGTCCTCCGAGCAGCTTCCAGTATCTGAAAGGGGCCTACGAGAATGCTGGGGAGGGGACTCTTTGTTAGGGACTGTAGTGTCAGGACAAGGGGTAATGGCTTCAAACTTAAGCAGGGGAAGTTTACTTTAGATATAAGGAAGAAGTTCTTTACTGTGAAGGTGGTGAGGCACTGGAATGGGCTGCCCAAGAAAGCTGTGAACGCTCCATCCCTGGCAGCCTTCAAGGCCAGGTTGGACGCAGTCTTGGGTGGCATGGTTTAGTGCGAGGTGTCCCTGCCCATTGCAGGAGGGCTGGAACTAGATGATCTTAAGGTCCTTCCCAACCCTATTCTATGATTCTGTGATTCTATGGACAGGAAGTGCAGAGGTTGAGGTTTTATCCCATGTCTGCTGCAAGCTGGAAAACAACAAGTGATAACAAGTGCATATGCGCATGTGGGATGAAAGGCTGCCTTCCAGGTTCATGAAATTGAGCTACACCAGACAGCACATTTCAGAAGACTTGGGCTTAAAGCTACTTGGAAAAGGGATGGGCAGGAAAGAGAGAGAAGACAAACGAGTCAAGACACTTTGCTTTCGTAGATCCCCATGCTTTTTTATTGCTCCATAGTTGTGGGAGAGAAGTCAGCTGGGACTGCAGGACCATGGGGTACCTAGGAAACATGCAGTGCCTTTAGGAAGCTGGCTTCGTCTCCCCAGAGGTAGTGTTGTGCTGAGTGACCCCTTCCGCATGGGCCCTGCAGACCTTCCTGAACTTAACGCTCATCTTTGAAATACCTGGGTGTGTAAAGGGATGACTTCTTGTCTGGACGAGGTCTTTTCCAGCCTAGTTGGTTCTATGATTCTATGACTCATGGTTACCATGTTTCCTGCAGAAGACCAACATCACCTGCTCGTTGCTGTGGACAGAGATCTTTGTAGTGGGATGAGAAGAGATCAGAATAGAGGAGATTTGCTCTCTTCTCACAGATGTTAGGGCTGTTTTGTCTGTGTCGTTTCAGTTCTTTGAGACCCAGGAGTGCGAGAGGATCAACTATTTCCGCAGTGCCCTCCGGCTTCATGTTAGCCCACCATGACGTGCCTTGGTATCAGGTCTCTGTAAAGCCCAGGCTGGCCTAACCTCTTGCCTTCCCACTAGGTCTGGGAGGGCAGTTGGGGAGCACAGAGCCAGGGCACTGGGAGTCCCGGAGCCACGCAGATCCTCAGCTCTGACTTTTCTAGTGTGCAGGAAGGCACCTCTACCCACCCCGACCAGTGCACCAGAATTACTTGCTTTATGGGGTTTCTGGCTCCACAGAAGAACTCTGCTTTTGCTCTTCCCCATCAGATCGTGAGCGTTAGCTGTCTAAAGGGAATGGTTTAGGTGAAGTCCGCCCCCCCCCCACCCCCCCCGAAAGATCCTGGGAAGCTGGACTCTGACTTTGGAGACAAGGTTTCACTAAGGAGAAGTTCTGATCAAAGCCCTGTATGTAGGCATTTGTGGAGCTTAAGGATGTCCAAGCTTGGGATCCCACCACTCTGCAGTTTGGGCCTTTCCCTCATTCAGCACCATGAGCTATATAATTCCCAGAGGCACTTTGGTGATGGAACTTGGTAAAATGCCTTGGTTGTTTGGCAAATCATAGAATCATAGAATCAAGACATCTCTTTCAGCCTCATCCACCATTGCCTTCCATCCCTTTGACACAGGTGGCCAGTGTTTCTGTCCTGTGTAGTCTTGTAACGAGCACTTCTCATAAGCAGACCTCATTTTTTTTTGTGCTCTCTGTTTCAGGTGAGCCTGATTATGCCACAGTTGACGGCTACATCACTAGATGCTGTTGATCCTGTTTGTAGGTTCTCCAGGCAGAAGACACTGTTGGTCTGGCCAGTGTGGTGGTGTTTCCAGTTACTCCCAGCTGTGAGAGAAACAGTGTTGTTTTCGCATATTTGGGGATGGGGCTTTACAATATTAAGACTTTTCAATCTTAGAGCTTTAAGATCAATAGTAAAACTTTGCAAAAATAATAAGAGTTTTCAATACTAGGTCTGGGATTAAGTTCCTAAGGCAATGAAGGAAAGGGTTTGAGATCTACTTATTCAAATAGACACGCTTTGTGCTTAAAGACAGTGTCATCTCTAGATGAAAGACACACTGTGGTTAAAAAGAATACTATCTACGTATAACCTAGGAAACTAAACCGGTGCAGGCTGGTTAAGCAGTAAGTTGAGGTAACTTATTTATACCCAGAGTATTATCTCCAACCATACTGGGAATCACCTTGTCCTGGGTGATGTTTGGTTTACAACTGGCTTTAATGGGTGGATCTCACCCAGCGCATAGAGAAAATCTCTACAAAGTAAAATTATGATATGTAAAGGTCACATAGAATCTGAATGTGGGGCGTTAGAGTGTGGTCCCGTGCCCTTGCTATTGCAAGTGCTGGAGGGGCAATAAGGCAAGTTCATGGCTGGGGGGCAGATGTGACAGGAGGGGATTCAATTGCTAGATTTAGAATAGGGGTTTGGGAGCCAAAGAGGAACGAATGCGACCAGCCTGTGGACATCCACCATTCCTCCATCGGTGGGCACACGCACTCCACCAAATAGTCCTAAGATAGTAAATGTAATTGCAATTAAAGATTTGAAGTAGATGTTTGAAATAGAAACAGGATATAGAAATAGAAATGTCTGGGTAGAACGGGTCAAATATCCAGGGAAAATAGAATCGTTTTAGATATATTAGCTGAAAAGGGAGGAATATGCATAATGCTAGGGAATACGTGTTGCACATCTATTCCAAATAATACAACACCAGATGGAGGCATAACCAGGGCCTTACAAGGCCTCACTATGTTGGCAGAAGAGCCGGCTGAAAATACAAGAACAGGTTACTTCATTAACAGGATGGTTAGAATCCTGATTTGGAAAATGGAGAGGAATGGTGATATCAGCTTTTACTTCTATAGTTGTAGTAGCAGGTGTATGAATAGCTATATGGTGCTACATAATTCCATATATAGGAAGACGTGTGCAACTTCTTGAAACAACTTTGTGGAACTAACTTTGTCAAAACAAATGCTCATGGGACCACCACCCTACTCTGATCTTGCTTGGTGTAGCAGTCCACAGCGCAGCTACCCAGTGAGAGGCTGTGCTGCCACAAACCTGCACCCTGCAGTGTTGCTGAGGATCTGGAGAAGTTGGTCAGCTCTTCAACCACCTCTCCAAGGAGGGGCTTGCAGACTTCTAGGTTCACGGTATAGCTTGTGCCTGGTAGGCTCTGCAGACCCTCATTTGATTAACTTCTGGTAAAGAAGTCCCTTGGACTTGTTGTGACTATGTACCACTGGAAAAAAACTTAGTTGTTAATGTTGGGCTGGAGCCCTGAAACTCATTTTCTGACCGTATCTCCCAAAGTTCTTGCTTTTTTTGTTACCATATACGTGATCACGGCTTTGATTCAGAAACTCATGTGCTGCAGGGCTGCTGGTCTCTCTCATATCCTCATGTGCAGCATTGCTTAAGAAGCTCCTCAGTGCCTTATGGCACAGGGATGGAGGATAAGGGGACCAGCACACAGTTCAGCTGTTTAAACCCGGTGCCAGGTGCCTTAACTTTGGAGCAACGGGAGTTGCTGATGTATGATATTCTTCAAGTTGAATCTGCGTGACTTCAGTGCATGTCTAAGCCAAACAGTTCCCGGAGCTTTTACTGTATTTCCTTCTGCGGAGAAGATGGCAGTGAGCTTAAACATCTCTCCTGATGCACTACAACGGACTGTGCAAAGTGCACATGCGAAGGAATCGGCTGTCCATTTTTATTTCTGAAAGACCAAGTGTAGAAATATTCTGCTGAAGGACCCTGCTGTAGTCTTAGTTCTTACATACATCTTCTATGATTAAGTTTTGAGACTTGCGTGGTGGCTATCTTTCTTCTGAAAGATGTCATACTCACTTTTTTTATCTAGGCTAGGGCGGGTACACCTTCAAAGCACCCTAGGATGTTCAGGTTCCTTCTCCTGGGAGGAAGCCTACAAGAGCATATCCTTGCTCAGCCTTTATTTCCTACTTGCTCAATACCACGACAGCTCTGGGACAGAACACACCAAGACTTTAGCCTCCCCCTGCTCCCCTAGAGTCAGGCTGAGTTTCCTCACAGGCCTCTCTAGAGGGGTCTGTCCTCCTCCCAGACACCCACAGAAGTGAAGGGCCTAACAAGAGAGCCTGATAACCAGCTGCACAGCTCCTGCCTTCCCCCCTAGGGACAGAGAGGCCACAGCTGCTTTAGTAAGACAAAATAAGCAGAGGGATACAGGTAGCATGGAAGTCTTATGTCCCTTCAGATGCTGGGCATCCTGCCTTCAGGCAGAGTTAGACCTCTTCCTTTTTGGTCCTATGAGCTAATACATAAAGCATCACAAGAAAACAGCATTAGTTATGAAGGAAGTTCACAGGAGCACTTCTTGCTGCGTTTCCAGATACAGGCAGGGCCAGGCAGCTGGTGTGTCAGTATCAGGCAGGAGCTGCCCATAAACCCCGTTAGCAGGCCTTGGGCAGTGCAGACCAGCCCTGTGCCTGCTCAGGGGATCACCACCTCCGTAATGTGCAATGGGCTCCTGGTCAGTATCATCTCTGCCTTGACCCACACGCAATTTACCTTTCCCACAGGTATTATAAATGACACATGATGTTGATAACAAAGGGTCTTCTCAAGGCCAAGTACAAGGCCTAAGAGAGTGGACATTACCTGTTCAAGATCATTAGGTCTTTGACTACAATGTCTTCTGCAAGGAGGGACTGAGCTCTGCAGGGACTCCTCCATCTGGGGACTGGCTGCAATCACTTCTGCTCCAGTGGGGCATGGCCTCGGCTCCAGCGGTGGCTCCCTGGGGCAGCTGAGCACCTGAGTAGGGATCAAAAGGGTCAGTGACGCCTGGTCCCCCAGGCTGAGACTGGAGCCCCGCTGCGGCTGGAGATGCCTCAGGCACTGCAGACAGGCTGCCCCGCTCCGGTGGCACTTCCGGGTCCTGCTACGGCACAAGTAGAAAGAAGAGAACTCACACTCCCCAGCCTCAGTAGTAGGGCCTTGGTTTCTTACCTCGCATTCCCTATAGCGGCAGCTGGACCTCCCCACAGACCCTTATAGAGACACCTGGCCTTGTCCCAGACTCTTATGGAGGAGACTCCCTCCCCACCCCCCTCCGCACCGGGGGCGTTACAGGAGAGCCTGGCCCCTCCACAGGTCCCTATAGGCGAAGCTGGCCTCCTCCTAGGCTCCTCTAGATGAGCCTTGCCTCCCTGCCAGTCCTTTTAGGGGGAGCCTGGCCACTCCCTTATAGAGAAGTTTGGATTCTTTCCCGGCTCCTAGAGATGATCCTGGCCTCCCAGCCGGTCCTCAGTAGGGGAACTTACCTCCCTCCCAGGCTCCTGTAGAGGAGCTTGGCCTCCACACAGCACTTTATAAAGGATTCTGTTCCCCCACAGGCCCTTGTAGGAGGGCCGATCCTCATCTCTAACACTTATGGAGGGGCCTGGCCGCCCCACAGGATCCTATGGGGTAGTCCCACCTCTCCCCACGCCCTTACTAAGGAACCTAGCCTTCCCATATCTGAGCCTATATGTGAGCCTACCCCAAGCCCGCTCCCATCCTGACAGGAGACCTGCCTCACCCAGGCCTGGCGGCCATGCTCCGGCTCCCAGCTCTGCGTTCTGCGCTGAGTCCTTCCGTGCTTCACGTAGCCACCGCCCTGCTGACTGGAAGGGAGCGGGTGGGGGCGGTGTCAATCTCCCCCTCGCTTCCGCCCGCAGTACCCGTGGCTGCGGCTTGGTGGTGCCGCAGAGTATGGCCCTGGTGGAGGCCGTGAGGGCGCCCCGCAAGGCCCACACCAAGAGCAGGCCCGAGGTGCGGGGGGAAGGCGGGGATCGGCTCCGGGTGAGGCTCCTCCGGTCCTCGTCCGGGCTGCTTCCGCCGCCTGCCGGTTGTGGTGGGTCCGGCGAGCTTAGAGGGGCGGGGAGGAGCCTGCGGGGCTGGTACACGCCGGAGGGGGGGGTGTTCGTCAGCCCTTTGTCTCGTGTTCGCGCCTATTCCTGAGTGGGTTTAAAGCGGCGGAGAGGGTGTCAGCTCCAGGCCGTGCTTGTGTCCGTGTTTGTTTGTCTGCTGCTGGAAGCGGCTAGATCGGGGGCGGGGTGTGCCTATCTGAAAACACATGTCCCATCCCTGGCAGTGATCTAGGCCAGGCTGGACGGGGCTTAGCACAACCTGGTCTAATGGAAGGTGTCCCTGCCCAGGTTTCAGTAGTTGTGGAATGATCTGAACTGAAATACCTTGCCTCACAGCCAGATCAAGTTGGAAATGTTTCTCTGAATTGCCTGACCTCTTTCATCTTGTACACTGCACCCCGGAGAGCAACGGCAGTGAAGTCCTGGTTGTCAAAGCCCTTTGAGAATAAGTCGGTGAATTAATTGACCACTGTTTGAGAAAACAAGGGTCAGAGCTAAGTGTCAGCTATGGCTGTGATTCCAGAACAAGTTTTATTTTGTGTCTGTGCTTCCATGATTTATTTGGTGGCAGGGCATGGCTGGAGCCACACATGAAGTCAAGCAGACTGTCGCCACACAGGGCAGGTTTTACCTTTCCTTAAACACGGACTTTGTTACCACCGTGCTCATTCCCCCTTAGGCCAACGCGACTGATCCTGGCTGCAGCAGTGAGGATGGTACTGCTGCAAAGGAAGTTTTTTTACATGTTCGGTGACAAATGTATCTTGCAAACTACTGTTTGAAGACAGAATCCTGAATCCCTGGGTACGTAGCTCTACTTCTACCTGAATCTCTTAAGCTTAATAATCCTCGCTGTGACACATTCTTCTGAGGTAGTGTATGATCTCTATTTCCCAAGTCCATGTACATGATTTGGGTGGTGGTGGGGTAGGTGTGCAAATACACGTTCCTGTATTGTCAACACTATAACTGTGGGATCTGGCAGAGGTTCCTCTGTCCTGGGATGCACATTTAACACTTGAATTTCCCAGACTTTTCTAGTCCCTGGCCACCATTGAGGGGCTGTACTGCAATGATTCTATCACCTGAAAGGAGGTTGTGAGGTGGGGGTCTGTCTCCTTGCCCAAGTACCACGTGATAGGACAAGAGGAAACGACCTCAAGCTGCACCAGGTGAGCTTTAGGCTGGGTATTGGGAACAGTTTCTTCCCTGAGAGGGTTGTCAAGCACTGGAACAGGCTGCCCAGGGCAGTGGTGGAGTCACCATCCCTGGAAGTGTTTAGAAGGTGTGCAGATGTTGCACTTCGAGACACGCTGTAGTGGTGGATTTAGCAGCGTAGGGTAAACGGTTGGACTCAATAATCTTAAAGGTCTTTTCCAGCCTAAATGATTCCACACTTCTAGTCAGAGCATCTACAAGATGATGCCTTGGCCACCTTACATTGTGCCTTCATTTCCATGCACACATGGTGGGCAGTATCCCTACCCCGAGGGCTAGCACTCTGCTCTCCTGTGCTGAGTCCACACACAGCCGCAGCCACATTTGTCTGCCCTGAGCCTTGGTGAACGTCCCCAGCATGGCTCTGCTGTCGAAGCAGCTGGCTATTCATGGCTGTGGGTTTGAAACAGCTCCGGGTCTTGAATCCTGAGCTACACTTAACATATGTCTCTCAATGAGCTTACTGGGGTGCTGTTCTGCGGTATGGCCACTCACTTTCAACAGGATGAAGCTGAGGGTTTTTTAGCATCACTTTTTCTGTGCCCCAGCTTGACTGTGTGCTAACCTGCGGCAACTCTTTGCTTCAGGTTGCTGTGTGTTGAAAGCTGGCTGTATTCATTGGGGTGAGGGGCAGATGTGACTGTGCTTGCTTGAAGAACTTCTTGATTCCAGTTTTCTTATGCTGAAAGGTGACCCCCAGCATGACTGAAGCTGACATAGCTAATGCTGCATGGACGCCGTTTCAGACTTCCTGCTGCTTTTATCTGTTTCTGGAAATGGAGTTGTACAATGGGCTCGGTTTGATGTCAGCTACAGCAGGTGATTTGAGCAACAGTCTTTTAATGTATGTGTGTATATATATATATATATTTGTGTGTATCTCTCTCTCTATATATGAAACTTTCTTTTCTTTGCAGAGGTAGTGTGGGAGAAGGTCAGATCTAGCTGGCACAAACCCTTTGGGAAGAAGCAAAGAAAATGGAGGAATTCAGGGAAGAGCAAAAACTGCATCGGAAGAAGGTCAGGATGTTGATCCACTACCAATTACCATCCTTGGTGATGGATTTTGGCTCCTGGCTCGTTTCTCCCACCATGCCCCAGCCCCCTGCATGCTCCCAGTGCCTGTCGCTGCTGGGAAGTCCTGAGCTCCTTCCTATATGTTGAAGCCCTGCTGCTGAACCTCTGACTTCCTTCTTCTGACTGCCACATCTTCTCCTTTGGGTGCCTTTTGGGGCTGGCTATCGCAGGGCTCACCTCCAGAGACACCAGCCTCAACCAGGAATGTTCTTAAAGCATAGAGACATATATCTCATACATTATAGTGTTGCGTGATGTCCATAGGGTTTGCTAAAATTGGCAAGTCTTTTAACCTCTTCTGGCTTGAGATTCCTTTGTCTGGAAAATGAGAGAAAACTGCTGCAAGTTTGGACGTAGCAGAAGGGAGCTGGCTTCCCAATTTTCCTAGATTCAATGGAGATGATACAGTACTATATAATGGTGGATTTCATTTGTAGAGTTCCATTGCATAGACAGGTGGAGGCTTAGCTAGAAGTATAAAAGGTGGGTTTTGTGAAGATGCTTGATGTGGACATAGGTCCTTAAGGCCATCTGAATTTGGTCTGTGCCTCTTCCTTTCCTAAGCCACATAGTCCATCGTGAAGCTTCGATGCTCAGTGATGTGTTGACTCTCTTGTCATCACAGATAGACCTGATAATGGAGGCGATTCAGAAAATCAGGAGTCTGCAGTACGAGAAGACCATGGTGGTAAAGCAAACATGCTGCTCTTTCTTGCTCTATGGTTTAACACTGCTACCATACGCGCACAGTGCTGGCACAGTCTTACATATGAGGGTCTTCCTCTGCTGCAACTCATGCAGACACTACATCAAGAGCTGCAGCAGAGGAAGACCGTCACATTTAAGTCTGCATAGTGTGCTCTGAAAAACTGAAGAGTACACCAGGGACGTGGCTGGTAGCAGCCTTGCACGGTTGGATAAGAGTGATTTAGATGTCACGGACTCGATTGCTATGAGCTTTTCATGCCAAATGAAGAGCAGCTTGTCTTGTGAGGTCAGTTTTGGTCAAGCAGCAGGGCACTGAGTGCCTTGTGTGCTGTCCCCTGCTCTGCGGGCAGCCTTTGGTAACCTCTTCACTTGGAGGTTGTTTTGCTCTAGAGCTATGTGCACGAGCTGTAATAGTACCTCCTTGCTTGCTAACACGCTCCTGCCCTGTTTGTTGGCTCTCCTAGGCCAAGCGCCTTTATGAGCAGCACCGCATGGATAAGGGTGAGGCGGAACAAGCTGTGCACCACAACACAAATGTGGTTACACAGAAGCAGCAGGAGAAGGTATAGAGAGGCGGGTGGCCATGGGACAGGAAGGGTGTATGCTCTTTGGGCTCTCCTGCCCCATAACTCTTCTCCCAGCTCTGGGTTTGGGGGTGAGATGGAAGGGCTGGCAATGTTCTCTAGCTGGCCTTCAATACCGTTGTGATGCACGTTAGCTCTCCTGTAGCTTTCTTCTGTCTCCCAGTTTTGGCAGCTGTTCCTCAATCTGGCTCAGATGAAATCACCTCCGGAAGACTCTGGTGAGTGTGGCAATGCAGGGTTTGGAGGGTGAGGGGAGTGTTTGCTGGGGCAGGGGTTGTGAAGCCATGGCATGGCTCTTGAGCGAGCTCCAGCTTCTGGGTCAGGGCTGGCTCCTCAGAAACTCATGCCCAACATAGCAGAGATGGCTTCGCACCCCATTTCCCGTTTCTCACCGTTTCTCTGTGGCATGACCTTCCACCTTGCTGCACAGCTCTGTATTTCCTTGCAGTGCACATCCATAGCTGAGCTCACACGTTACTGCTGCTTTCTCCCTGACGTCCCTGCCGATTCAGGTTTTGTGTAGTGCCTTCTAGCAAAGGGTCCTTTTAATCCATGTTAATCAGATGACAGTGTGATTTGTTTCAAAGGCAGGAGTTACCAGCAGAGCGTTACCACACTGGAGAAGATCCGGGAAGAACGGCAAAGAGCACGTCAAAGCTTGTGAGGTGAAAGCCCCCAAACACCTTCACGTGGCAGTGTGGTCCTCTGGATGTCCACTCCTTGTTGTAGAAGTCCGGGATGGCACAGATCTGCCTTCTCTCTGTTGCCCTGGCAGTGAAGCAGCAGGATGTGTTGCAGCTAACACTGTGTGTGCCTTAGGCGTGCCTTCTGCACTTAAGGTCCCACCACTTCAAGGTTTCCAGTAATTTTTTTTGTTTGTTTTTATTTTTCCTTCCACTACCTTTTCAAAGTAACAGAATCAAAGCAGTGACCTTTTCGCCCA